TATAGCTTGCTGTGTCACTGAGTTCAGTAGGTTAGGGTGATTAAATGCCATTTCTACTGAAAGAATCTTCATTTATTATGAATTTATAAAGAAACGTGTCATTATTTTCCTAACTAACAATTTGACATCATTAAGTAGCCCCTGTTCTCATTCACACTGCTTCCAATAGATTTAACTTTAAATAATGTCATTATTAAATCAGGAACCCCCAAAGGCTTTGAAATAGCCCATGAGTCTCTCAGTCTGTTTTAATTGTTAGTATTTCTTTTCTGTTCATCATTTATTTTCCTACAAAAAATTTTGTAATTTGTTTGTTGAAAATCTAAACTATTTGTTTTTCTATTCTCCACGGTCTGGATTTTGTGCTTGCTTGCTTCCCTTCTGACTTAATGTTTGCTAGAAATTGGTATCTAGCTAAAATCAAAATCTTGATTCTATTTCTTTTTTTTGTTTTTTAATAATGCTATCTTAAATGTACTAATAGGTTTTTCACCAGGGGACACATGATGACCCTTTTTCTTCTGTAGTGATAGCAGCAGTGGGTGACATTGTCTGGATCCAGCCCAGCATTAGAGTTTTAGGCTATAGATACACCACTATTCTGTTTTCATTTATTATCCCCAATAATTCCATAAAAGAAGGTTTCTTCCTGATCTATCATTCAATCATTTCTTAGTTGTTTCAGATAGTAGAGCAAAAAAACAAAAACAAAAACAAAAACAAACAAACAAAAAACTCACATCTATTAGTAATGGATTTCCCGTAGGAAAGGTAGGCTTAATGCTCTCCTCCCTTACAAGTTCTCATATTGTGAGCTGGAAAATGGTATTCTTTCAAGAGAACCAACATTCTAAAACACAACTCTCCATTCATGAACTGAAACGTTTAACGTTGTGTAGTTTATGCTTCAACTGCAGTTCAGGTTACTACTCAGCAGGAAAGTCTCCAAGTGTGTGCCTGGATCCCTCACCCAGGCATTGGTACAAGGGAATCTCCTGTGTCAGGTATATAAAGATGCGGAAGCTAGCTCAGTACTTCTCTGTCTCCGAGGACTCTCATGTGTTCTGCTAAGTGAGAGATGTCTTTGGCAGGTGGCAAGGTAGGCACTCAGGCTGCTTGTTGAAGATTGCTGCTTATTTGTTTTGTTTGGAGGTATTTTCAATATATACAAATTGAATCAAAGTTTTTGTAGTTCAGACTAGTACAAATATTTCATAAGCTATTTGAAGTCATGATATCTGGGTGTTAAATTTTATTTAACTGGTTCATCTAACAACTTTATCTCATTTCCTTCAGTTGCTGTTAGCATCAGGAATGACAGAACTATGTTTACTTCATCCCATGATATATAATAAATATTGTTATGATAGATATATCAATATTTCAACCAATAATATAATTTATGAAGAAAGTTTTAGGTTTATTTTCTTTCATTATTTTTCCTGATACTAGATACTAAACCCAGAACCTTATGTTCTCTTACTACTAAGCTCACTTTTAGGCATTTTTTTGTTGTCTAATTTCCCAGAGGAGTGTGGTAAAATATTAATTATTTCTTCGTCTTACTTAGTGTAACTCTTCTTTGTGTAGCAACTGTATTATTAACTGAAATAGAGAAGTTCATTTATTTTTGCTCTTGAACTAGCTATGATATTTTAAATTATATGTTGAATAAATATTTCAAATATTTAGATAGCATGATTTATTGATTTATTCTTTAATTTTCTATTCCTAAGTATTTTCTATGTTTCCTCCTACATACGGTCATTGAATGTTTTCATTTTAATCAATTACAAATAAAAAATTATTTTTTGTGTATTGGTGTTTCACCTGCATATCACACATGTGTATCACATGTGTGCCTGGGGCCTGCAGAGGACAGAAGAGGACATCAGCTCTGCTAGAACTGGCATTACCATGTGGGTGTGGGAATCGAATCTTCTATAAGAGCAGCAAGTGTTCTTAACGACTGAACCTTTTTAGTCCTGAATTTATCTGTTTATTGTACAATTTGCATTTTCTCGATCTGTTGGCACTTCTAAATTGCCTTATTGTAACCACATTCCTTAAAGACAAGGCAGGATTGATTTTCCTTATCAGTCTGCCTGTGAAGACTAATATACTATCACTTTATTTTCAGCTTTGTCTCCTGTGCTAGGCACTTTCTTTGCCATACATCATACCCTAATCCCCTGAAGACATTCAGATCTTAACAGAAAAAATTAACTCCACTTAACATTTATTAAAATGGTTGATTTGAATACTATTTTAGCTGTTGTGATTATCAGTTTTTATTTTACGGAATGTTTCCACTATGTTTTCATTTTTGTCTCTATTTCTCATAGAAAAGTTATTAGATTTGTTTTTATGGTGCTTTTTGAACTAATATAAGTTTTTTATATAACTTTGAGTTTCTCTCTCTTATGATAGTATCTATTATTCTCAAAGACAAAAGACATTAAATTTAATATTTAAACTTCTTGTTTTTCTCCTTTTCAGGTCACAGACCCTCTCCTTGCAATAGACTTTTATTCCCAATTAGCAACCACAGAATAATAAAATGTCATTAAGAATTTTGTCTGCTAATCATCATTGCCCCTGAATGGTTGCTAATTACACTCTATAAATAAAGTCAGGCCATAGGCTACGATACAATCCTGCCTTCCTTAAAACAACCATTCCAACTTAGTGTTGTGGATAGTTCTTATGATATTACCTCTCTGGTTTTTTGGTCATGTGAGGTTGAAAACATTCCATTCTCATGGAAGCCTCTCTAGACATGAGGTAAACAACTCAAAATAGCATTGGAAGTCCCTGAAATTGACCAGATTTAGTAGGCCTTCTTTTTCCCCAACAGCATATAAGTAGTAAAGACACACTGAGATAGACAAGCGTCCTAGATGTCTCACAGGCCAGTCAACCAGAGAAAGCTCAGCTACCTGGAAGAAACTCAGGACAACTGAAGAACCTGAGAAGGACATTGTCCAATCTGTTCAGCTATCTACAGGCTGTGCCATGTGTTCCAAGTTCCCAGTTTTTTTGTGTTTTTTTCTAGTATACTAGAAACCAAAATTTATTACAGGGAAAAAATAAAAATTAAAAAAATAAATCTCCATGAGTCACAAAAAGCTTATCAGCTAGCTAAGACCACGGCCAGAGTTCGGGCTTGTCAGACAGTGGCAAAGGACAGCTTCCAAACCCCACCTTTGCCATTCATGCTGGGGTGGGCTTTGGTGAGATCTTTGAGTCATTTATGATCCTGGAAGTGACCCTTTACCCACACATATATAAGTAACCCCAATGAACTCATTGGTTCATGAAGTTAGTCTATGATGATATCCATACTTAGATCATGCACACATGTATGTGCACATGTGTGTTGGTGTGTGTGTGTGTGGGGGGGAGAGAGAGAGAGAGAGAAAGAGAGAGATTTTCCTTCTCCTTCCCACTGGATTATGACATCATACCTAGACTCTAAAAGTAACTAAATTTGCATTTGTCTATATTTCTGTCTATAAGTTCCCAAATCAGTAAGACATTGGTTGTCAAGTGCAGGTTGAATAAACTTCAATCTCTAATGTGTGGTTACATTCCTAGTGGAGCTCTGAGAATCTTTTAGGACAAGGAGAAATTATGTCTTACAATCTTTTCATTAACAGAATCTTGGACTCAGCAAATAGAGAGCAAGCCCTGAAACTGAGTCAACCAAGGGGTCTTTGGAAGGGAATATGTAGTTGATAAAAAAATGAGGTACTATTCCAGAATCATTCACAGGATTTACTGAACAGTTCATCCTCATGCTCCAAGCTATGGGTAATGCTCATAAAAATGTTTTTATGTAGACAGCCATCATCAAAAGCCAGAAGAAGGGCATAAGGTGGTGATAAAATGCTGGGGATAGTACAGAGAATGAGATGAAGAAAGAGCAGAGAAACAATCAATATGGAAAACAAAGAATTTAGGTTGGATTCAGAGAAGCCCTAGTGAGGGGAAATATGTCATATAAAAGCAGGACTTATAGGATAGTAAAACATGGAAGGCCACTACTAGATGTGGTTCAAGGGAACTCTTATGCCACTGTAATGGGAAATAAACAGCAAGAGGAACGATACTGAGGATTGAAAATGACTTGTGTGTAGGATGGTGCTTTAACAGTATTGAGAGTAAATCAACGATTCTTTAATCATTAATTAAGGGAGGACATCAGGAATATATTACAATTCTGTCAAAATGATTAGTAGCTTACAAAACACTTCCATTTGATTAGGTCATCTGATTTTATATAGGTAAGTACTTATATCCATTTTAGAGAGAAATAAATTGAGAATTATGAAGGATTTTGTATGAGACACATGCCCACAAGAGAGAAGAAATTTAAACATATGTCCTGAAACAAATTTTGAATGTATACTGTTTCTTGCTGGAGGAGATGAACTAATTCACATTGTTTTATGAAGCCCTGTATTAAGAATAACTTGAAAACACTCTGGTTGTGCCTTTTAAATACCACTCTCAAGTGACTGGAGTACCTTACCTATCACATACACATTGACCCTTATCTGCCATAACTTATAATGTCCTAAAGTAACTTTTCTTTGTTTGTTTGTTTTGTTTTTAGCTTTCTGAAACAGGGTTTCCCAGTAGTCATGGAGTCAGCCCTGGAACTGGCTCTGTAGACCAGGCTGCCCTCAAACTCACAAAGATTCACCTATCTCTGTTCTGGGACTAAAGATGTGCTCCATCACTGCCTGGCAACTAATTATTTTTTTAATCTGTGAGCAGTATCTCCCTTGGGAAGCGCAGTAAGCTATTCCAGCACACCACCACAGCACTACTTCCAAAGCGTTTACCCCTCAAATCATCATTGAACAAACAAGTTGGCCAGCGCATGCAATTTCTGCTCACTTTCAAGTTGTCCATGGTGTTTTAAGTGTGGGATCCTGCTACAGACCCTAGGATGAAAGAATCAGACAGTGGGGTAATTTTCCTTGCCTACTTACCTCTGTTTCCCTTTGTGCTCTACAGACCCAGCTGAGAGTCTGTCAAGTGGAGACCCAAAGCCAGGGAAACTCCTCTTCTTCTTGGTCTCATATACATCGTTCTCCAAGGACACCAGTTCATCTAGAAGCAGGAGCTTAGCTGCAAGGTCGGTGGCTGATTTCTCTTCCCTGCCTGTGGGTGGTGATTGCAAGCCGGCTGCTCCAAACTCAGAAGCCTACAGGGCAGAGAAAAGTGGACACTCATTCATTTAGACAGTGAAAAATAAGGATGCACAAGACTGACATTGGGTATTTTCTACTGCTAGATGATAAGCCCATTGCTCATTTTATGATGTCTTGGGGTTATGTTTTAGAAAAAAAAATACCTAGACTCTGGGGCACTGAAACATACAGAGATGAATATATCCAAGAAAAAAAAAATCCAGGCTTTTTTCTAAAATTTGACATCTTTAGCCCCCAAAAGAGAAGCATCCTACCCTGTGCACCATGGCACTTGACCTGAACCTCCTTCCTCGCATCACTCTTCACATCTTACTCTAAAGAATATCTGTTACAACAAAGTTAGAGTTTTCATTAAGTGAAAGTAATTAGAGAGTCATGTCCTAAGCTTTTATTTCTTTTTCTCTATGCCTATCCCAGTATTTTTCTCATAACAAAAAAAACTGAACATTTTTTTTTCTGAAAGTAAAACTCTAAATGTCATGCTATTTTACTTCCTTAATTCATTCATCTTCTCTGTAAAGTGCTAACGCTCCACTGCATTCTGCATTCTGCATTAGGTTAAAAGGATGCAAAAAATAAATAAATCCTGCTTCTGTGCCCAAGGAAATTAATATCTCAGTCTATGTGATTTATTAAAAATGATAAACAATGTGTAGAACTACCCCAATAATAATACTGTTACAGGCACATTTTCTTAATTTGTCTGATATGTATGCTTTCTCTGCGTACTTCATGCAAGTCATAAATGGATGAGTGTTCAGTGCGGAAAGTCTATTTTCCCTTCTCTAGCCCAGTCACAGAATTTTAGAAACTGCTCTAAGCCCCAGACTCCGTTACTGTTAAGGAACAGCACATCTGTTATAGGTGCCTGAGATGACGCTTCAGATGGAAATTCAAGCTCCAGCATGTCTTCCCTTTAGCCACATGCTTCCATGTGTCACAAGGTGGATCACAACAGAGATTAGGAGAGGAAGAATGTCAAATCACAATACATAATATTGATCAAAATGAGACAGATTACGGAGTCCTATTTCTCTGTGGGGGTGCTAACACCATTATCATGCTGCTTAAAATTGATATTAATTTTTAACAATTTCTTGTTTAAGGTGCTCTTTGTGATATTTATTTCCCTTTGAATTATTCATAATAATAGGGGGGTGGAGAGATTCAGCTCCCTGAGTGACAAGTGATAAACTTTATGTAGGTTGCCTTGAAAAAAAGGATGGATTATGAGTCGAAAGGCCAACCAGCCTCCCCTTATGCTAGTTCTTAATTACTGATACCACAGAGGTGATTGCTGGAAGCTGGATGACCATGGGAGCTGCCTGCTGCTGAGGCATGATGCTGGCTCGTGAAGATCTGGTATTAGTCAGCAGGGCTGAAATTTCCCTGCAGTCATCTCTATCCAGGTCAGGGGAGTGGCCTAGCAGAATTGCTGTTGTGGTTGGTATAAAACAAGTAATGGCACAATTGGTGTAAATATGCCTTCATCTGCATGAAGATTTGCTGTAAATGGTCCATATTTCTGGCTGTGCAATCAGGTAGTTCAGCTCTTTGAGCTGATTCGGTAAGCTAGCGGATAGACATCTTCCTGCGGCGCAGCCCCCTCTCTCCATAGCAACATTAGGACAAGTGTAAAGCTTCTTCTCTCCGCTGATTTTCTCGTTCGATGGGCAGACAGAGCTTCAGAAGCAGTTGACAAGTTCAGCAAGAGAAAGGACAGGAGTTGGCAGCAGAGTGTAGCAGAGATAATGGCAGCAGAGACACAGAGCGACGACAGTTACCTTCTCTGCAGAGGCATCTGGGACAAGAGCCTCTGTAAACATGGACAGCTGGAAAGTTCTCCAGTTAGAGAGCATCCAATACAGATACAAAATAAATGGCAGACGTAAAGAGAAGGTGAGAAAGATCAGGGAGTCGGGGCCAGAGGACAGAGAATTCTAAACAGCCAGAAAAGTCAAACTGTTGTCCCTGGAATCAGGCCAGAGACGTTTGGCAGGCCTTAAAGACCAAAGATCTCAGATGCTTTAGGGCCAGGAATTGTACCACTAGTTGCCGTTAAAGGCTGGCAAATGTGAAAATCTTTAGATTGCACTGGGGCCGGTAACACTTGCCACCTTAAAAAAAAACATCCTATTAGCTGTGGCCTGCAGGAATGTTGGAACATTCCTGTCAATCACCACTCCCCAGGCTCTCTGCCTGTCAGAAGCCAAGGGTCACAACCTATCAACCTGGGAAAAACTTTTCCTTGGGAGAACAAAAGGCCACAGTCTGACAAAGAGGAACTAAGACATCTGAAAAGTGTTTTTATTTTCCACTTAGCACAGCATAAAATCTAGAGTTTTGTTTCCTATTGTAATAAAAGGTTTTGGCCAAAACTACATAAAATTCAGCATTCAACTGACAACATTTTACGTAATTACATCTCATGTTGATGTAATGATAAAATTAAAACATGCTTGTAGTGAAAATAAATTTTTAATGTTTTTTGTTTGAAGAATACAAATCTTACTACTTCAAACTCTTAAAAATATCTAGATAATGCCAGATGGTGGCAGCGCACGCCTTTAATTCCAGCACTCGGGAGGCAGAGGCAGGTGGATCTCTGTGAGTTTGAGGCCAGCCTGGTCTACAAGAGCTAGTTCCAAGACAAACTCAAAGCTACAGAGAAACTCTGTTTAAAAAACACACACACAGACACACACACACACACACAATCTAGATAAGTCATATGGTCTGCATTCTCTGAATTCAATAGTAATTATCATTTGTATATTTAAAGTTCACAACCTTGAATATCACTGGCAATGAGAATAAGGTGACAAAAAATATTTATCTTTTTGATTTTGTGTTCTGAAGGCATTTGTCAGCTGTATCTTCTGGATGAAGTAAAAACAGTTTGTGTCTGTTAAAATATAAATATGCCAGGAAGAAAATGAAAAAGGAAATAAGGACTGCGAGGGATGCGATCACCCACTGATACAAGGGGACTGATCTAATGAGAGTTTACCAAGGCCAGTTGGACTGGAACTGAACAAGGACGCAATCCAACCAGATTCTCTGAATGTGGCCAGATTCTCTGAATGTGGCTGGCCCGGAGTCTTTCTGAAAAGCCATTGACAAAGGCACTGGGACTTGTTTCCTTTGCATATACTGGATTTTGTGGATCCAGTCCGTCTGGACACTCACCTTCCTGGACCTGGAGGGAGGTGGGAGGAACTTGAACTTCCCACTGGGCAGGCATCCTGACTGCTCTTAGGGATGGAGAGGGAGGAGGAGAGGGAATGGGGGGAGTGGGAGGGTGGTGGGAGGAGGGGCGGAAATGGAAACTTTTATAATTTAATAAAATTACAAAAAAATATAAATATGCCCATATGTGCCTATGTGAGTTTTTGTGAGTGTGTGAGTGCATGTGTGTGTGTGTTTGTGTGTGTGTGTGTGTAGGCCATAGGCTGGCATCAAGTGTTTTCTTTCTCTTTTTTTTTTTAAGATAGGGGCTCTCACTGAATCTGGAGCTCACTGGTTAGACCAGCCTGGCTAGTTTAAGTCCCAGAAGGTCTGTCTTCACACTCCCAGCACCGAACCATAGGTGCCTGATGCTTCAACCAGCTTGCCTGTGGGGGCTGGGGATCTGAATTCTGGGCCTCATGCTAGAGTCATTGGTGAACCACCTCCTTCACCCTTGCATGTGACATCCTAAGCTGGTTTGCATTACCTCTGTTGCTACGTCCACAGAGAACGCCTTTCCTGAGCTCCACAGCATCACAACCACAGCCAGGATGAAGTGTGCACTTGCCAATCTCCGGTCCAGCATCTAGGCTCAGATACAGCGAGGTTGATATTAATTAGTTTGAAATATAAAAACAGAAAACTGAAGCTAAGGAAAAGCTTGTTAGACATGAAGCCATTCACTTCTCTGTGATGGCATGCCTATCTACCCACCTAAATAATGCCAAGTAAAATCTGTCAGTCTCCTGTAATGAATTTTCTAAAGGATTTATTTCCATGAAAACATACATTGTATAGCTAAAATAATCATTCAATTAAATCTAACCAAATAGCTGAAAACAGATATCAATGTCATATGGCTTTTATTTTGGGGGTAGTAGCTTAACGTTGACAAATGAGAGAGAATAAAGCTTTGGGTCTCTGGACCAGAATATATGGTATACCTGAAAGAATTTAAATTAAAAATTTTGAAAACACTACACAGTCAATAAGATAATACATTTATATTCTTGTGTTTGATCAGGATTTTTTAAAAAGAAAGACTCAAAACATGAATATGTTATTTAAAAAGTGCCAAAATTTAATATTCTAAAATTAAAAAATTTTATATGGTAAGATTCAACAAAATCAACATATAACAAAATCAAGAGACAAATTGTAACATGGGAGATATTTTCAACATGAGTAAATAAGACAAAAGTTACTAACTGGAACACATAATTAAGTCTCATAAGTAATACACAAAAACCAGACACTCAAATAAATAAAAGTCAGCCTAAGTTATGAATGCATATTTCATAGACAAAGCATAACACAATGAGAAATTAATGTCCCACAGAACAAACACTGTATCATTCACACACATCGCAGTAACAGAAAGAAACTCTTCACTGCAGATTTTAGAGAAGTATTTGAAAACAAAATCACACAAGTCCTGATGAAGTTGGAATTGGATTCAGTTGTGTGAGGAAAACTCAGCCAGAGAGGAAAGGTTGAAAATAATTGTGTTTTAGCAACTGTGCCTTTATTTTACTTCTAGGTGTATAACCTTGAGAAACTTGCACATGCTTGTAATGACTCGGCCGTGGCGCAGTTCATTGACTCACTAGTTTTAATAGCAAACATTCAGAATCAGTTCATGCACTCTATCCAAGAGAAGATGGCTGGGTTAACTGAATGACATTCAAACTATGGGCTTAGAGTAAATGAATTAGATTCATATTACTACTAAAACAGACAACTTTAGGGTTTATCCCTAGATATGAATGTCAAAGAAATTCTTTTGGGTGGATATAGAAGTGTAAAATATATACATGTCCCTTCGGGGTCAAAAAGAAAAGGACTTTGAGTTTTGAAGAATGGTTTTGAGTCTCACTTTGCTTTAGTATTGCTGTGATCTTGGACAAAAATTATTTAACACTCTTGAACTTCAATTTTCATATGTATGAGGTGAGAAGTAATTCCCATATCAAAAGAGTTCCAGCAGGGTGGAATTGATTTACCCATAATGCCTTTCTCACATGCATTGCTTAGTTTTGGTACACTGAATGGAAGTACAACTATGTGGCATTTTTCAATATTGTTTTGGTAACTGCATATATGTTGATGTGTCCCCCAACTTAATACTTCCTTCTTGTTGTTGTGAAACTTGACTGTAGATCTTAGTAGTTGTGTTACATGCTACAACATGAATTGTGATTTTGCATAGACAAAGGAACATCTCTATTATGTGTCCTGTTTAAGATTCAAGATGGAGAAAAATACCTTCATTATATATATGTATACATACATATATATATCATTTCTTTTATCAACTGTAATAAAATTGAGCTTAAACTCTTTGTTCATTATAGCATTAATTATTTTCTTTTGGTGTCCTGTTATTAATACCAGTCTCTAGCTGCTTGTCTGTATTCTATCATCTCTTGAAATAAAACAGTAAATTTTGTGTTCTCTGTTTGTCATGTTGGTATTCAGCTGAGTTTTTCAGTGAGCATAGGAAAATGATAAATGAGATCTTGTTTCCAAATATAAAATACATACATTTTGAGAGATGACAGTAGTGATCATTTGATTAAAATATCAACCAAAATTATATTCGCTTTTCTTTTAGAACACCAGGCATTCTTTTTAATATTAATTCTACTGATTTTGCTGATATTTCTTTTACATTCATCTATAGACAGGAAGACATTTTAAAAACATAGCTGTATTTGAAAACAATGTCATATTTTGTATATATCTACTTTTTAAAGTAACGCTCTCTCATTTAATCAAAGATAAATTACAATTGTGTTCACTTTCCTTCATTTTTAATTATGCTAAAAATAGTTTTCAAAGTGCCAAGTTGCCCTGTTTTACAAGTCTTTCCTTGTGGATTTCCTTTAACTACTTTCACAAACATCTTGCTAACCAAAGTTTCCTTCATTCCCACAGGCTTGTAAATGTAACAGAATGATGGTGTTTGTAATGTTGATGATTACATCTGACACATGTATTTTGGAGCTTGGGCGTATATAGAAAAAATAGTTTTAATGTATCCTCTAACAGATAACCACATCCCGATCATTTGGATAGGGAGGTGTAAAAATAAATGTTGAGTTTAAATACATGTATTTAATGTTTTAGAGCCATGCTTGTACCCAATAAACCAACAGGCTGAGTTTCTAAATATGGCACTTTGTACACTAATATAAACAAGGACTCTGGCACCTGCCAAACAAGAGACATTGGATTAACTCATTGAAACTCAATTGCTACAAAATTAGAAACAGCAGAAATTATAGAGAGGAAAGGAAAAGGCCAGGTTTAGCACCATTTCTCTATTTTGTTGATAGTGAATAAATATAGCTCATGATTTAAAACCCCCCTAGGGCCCAATGTACTCTCCAAATCACAGAAGGAACCTTTAAAGGAATTCTTTGACTATATGAATTTACCAAAGCTAAAGTGTTTCCACATTAAAAAACAATGTCTAACACATTAGCTTTTTTTTTCTTTAAAGGCATGTAGCCTATGGTAAATTTGAACTCATAATTATTCTGCTTTACCATTCCAAGTTCCAAAATTTGGCTGTATAACAGCTAGACTCCTCCTTTTAGCTTAGTAGCTTTTGAATTATATTCCTTGGAGTAATAAAGGATTCCAAAATAGACAGAGGGCATGGAATCTGCCTTCTAGGATTTTGTAGGTATTTTATTTGCAAGCAATTGGGTTCTTGCATTTTATATGTTACATTTTAGTATTCCTGCATACTATTTATTATAATAAAAATTATAATGTTAAATATTCCATCCTATTTTATGCTATATATTGCTCTTGAATTATTTAATACATCTGGATAAATCAACATTTACTTTGTGAACTATCTGAAGCTGTGTCTTGGACTTTCTACATGTGACATCTTATGTCTGGAAAGGACTCTCCCACCCAAGGCTGGAGGAGTGGAGCACACGTAGATCAATGTAGAGAAATATGGAGTCTTGTCATCTACATTGGAGAAACAATGCATATTATTCATTCTTTAAAATACGATGAACTGTGGAAGTATAACAGCGCTGAGCTTTCCTTCATTTTGATTGAACCTAGTAAAAGGTAGTTGAGTGGAATTAAGGAGTTTCCGTCTGTGAACAAAGGTTTCACAGGGTAGGGAGCAAAAAGGAGAGCAAAGGGGGAGGGGTGGGGGACACTTCATCATCTTCATGGTATAATGACTTGTCATAAGTCATAACAAAATGTTCTCCAAAGGCAGAAGCCCAAGGAGATGATGGCTGATCTGATATACCTTGGAACTAATAAGACTCTTAAAATACCAGTGCTTGAAGGTTACCGTTGAAACAAACTCATCAGACGATTAAAGGTCTCTTCAGTTTGAAACTTTATAATAATCTATTTACTTTTGGACAGTTGACCTAAACATTACAATTACAATGATGGTAATTTTATGGGTGAATTTTAGTAGCATCTGGAAATTTTTAATTTTCTCTAATAACTAAGTTGAAATCATTTAAGCCAGAATCTATCCATCATTTTCAACAAAAAAGAGCTCGAAATTGAATAATTTTTATTCAAATTTTCAATAATTTACACCTTTTCTTAACCACTTTCCACTGTAAATGTAAGGAAGAGTTGATGAGATGTGCTGTATCCATGTATTACAAAATGGTAACTTGTGGAGTTGTGGATATAACTCAGTTTGTGGGCTGTTTGCCTGACATACATGAAGTCCTGTGATCAATGCTCAGCCCAACATATACTGGCCATGGTGATTTGTGTCTGTAATCTAAATCTGGAATGCATGAGACATTGTCTCAACAAACATAGAAACAAAAAATGCTTATTTGTGAATTTATTTGGTTTTCTCCTTTTGGATCATAGATAAATCTTTCAATTCATCCTCTCACAGTGTTAAAACAAAAATGACTGCAATGAGTTCCAGCTTCCATGGCCCCAGAGTGACAGCTGTTCTGGGGAATTCAGAGAGTAAAGGACAGTGGGTGGCTTCATTTGGTTGGCATTATAGTTACTACCTCACTGTGGGCTTTAGAGAGGATAGGATAGCACGATGCTTCATTCTTTCTTCAGAGGCAAATTTTCCAATCCGTGTAGTCTTTGAAGTATTGACTGACTATTTCCCCTGTATCTAGAAAACAGTCTATAAAGATAAAATAATCACTCTAGAATTTTCTCAAAAACCCCTAACCGTAGTGGATACTGACATCATCACTGCAATAATTAACAGGGTTTCAGTTAGAAATTTTGAGGCATTTCACTCTGCACCAATATTAAGTACACACATGTCCTTGCAATATTCATACAGTATGATTCCCAAAAGCTTGCTAATGAACAAATGGATGATTTAAAAGTAATGCCCAGCAATAAGTTTACCAACACCGGACCGTTGCTTCTGGAATAGTGTTTCACACAGTTTATGCTGTGGATGCGGTTCTGAAAATTCAAATTGAGACTGCGAGTGAGTAGCACGTGGATTATTTGAGAATTAGAACAATAGGTGTAGTCTCTCTCTCTCTCTCTCTCTCTCTCTCTCTCTTTCTCTCTCTCTCCCTCCCTCCCTCCCTGCCTTCCTCCCTCCCTCTCTCTCTCCCTCACTGTTCTGTTTATAGGAAAAGCTTTTCCAGAGACACGAAGCCAGAGGAATAAGAGCCAGAGCAACAGCCCTCATTTTCAGAGAGTTTCATGATCTTTCAATATAACCTAGTGGTATAATAGTAAAACACTTTTCCATTTCCCTGCCCCCCCCACAAAAGAAATTCAACTCCAGGGAGGTCTTCATGAAAGCATTTATAATGACTTCCCCTGAGTGTGAAAATTCGTGAAGGATGATAATTTGCTAGTGCGTATGTATCCACTGATTTTCTTTAATTAGACACAATTTTCATTTTTTGTTGCTCTCCACTTTCTGAACAGTAAAACTTGTATTAAATGCCTCTGGAATGAAAAAATCCTCTCAATCAGAATGTCTTCAAGGAAATAAAGAAGGCAACATCTTACCATGACACTTTAAAGAATGACCCCACTACCACCACCAAGAAAACGTTCAGATCTCTTTACAAAGACATATGCCTGTGTTTATAAGGTACTCGAGGGCAGGGACTGTGCCATGTTGACCAGTTCATATACACACATTGCAAAATGCTTGGCAGTCAACAGTATGTGCTTCATTAAGTGGCCATAGTTGTTGGTGGGTAAGCACAAATGCACAGTAGATATTGATAATCCAGAGTCAGTATGGAAGCTAACTCAACACACTAAGTCAGGTTAAGGGAAAAGACAGACAAGCTTTTCCACTAACAATAACTTGGATTAAACCCATGCTGGAGTTCACTCACATGTGCTACCATTCCACATTCTGGCCTCTGCAAAGTGATGCGCACTAGACCCCACAATAATCGCCTATGACGACCTGCTAAATTCTAACTGGCCATTAGACCTCTGAACAGTTAAACAATGATGTTAAACAATGATACCTATGGCCAGAAAAGCTTCCTCCTGTGATTGTTGCTGAATCTTCTAAGGAATCTAAATTGTTTAATTCTGAAACTCATCAACGGGATGAAATAGTACCTATGACACCATGGATAGAGAAAAAGCTGACAGATCTGCACCTTAACATATGGATTTGATGCATAGAAAACATAGGATAAAAAGATCTTAAAAGGCTCAAGTTGAATAAGTGAAGTTAAACATTAGACATGTAAGGTTCAGAATGAAGTAGACTTTTACAACTTCGTTCTTTACCCTCCCCATATAATACTTAATGTTAATCTTACATTTAATTGACATAAAATTAGCCAATATAATCAATAGAAATACTCTGTAAATGTACATTAAAAGGGTAAATATGAATTCCATATTGCTTAGCAACAAGATACATTCATTAATCATATTTTGCAAGCTAGGAATGAGGGATCTAGAAATGGACACCTGCCCAACTCAAGTTGCCTACTTGCTCTGTCCACAGATTTCTTCTTGCAAAAGCAGATTCTTTCTGCAGTGTTTGGATAATCTTCAAAGAACTTTTGCATAGTATAATAAAACATGAATACTTTAAAAATTATCCTGGATCATTTTTGTGCATGTAGCCATGAATTAGATTAGCGTAGAAAGCATCATAATTCCTTTGTTAGAGGTTGATGAACTGAGATAGGCTGAGTTGCCACAAGACTGTGACCTCCTAACCCCTAGTGTTGCTCCTAAACTTCCTACCAAAACAAAGGGAAGGAGTGGAGATGTGCAAGGTCTCAGCTTACACAGCATGGGATCAGAGCTCTGGAAAGGCATGTTTCTCAGTCTTGCTCTTTGGTATTTTCACTTTGGAAGGGGACAGAGATTCACTCTATTGATTTATTGTGAAAATTAGAAATATTTCATGTAAACTCACAAATAACAGTCATTTCCCAATAAACAGTTTTATCATCCTTTAAAATGTGGCAACTTTTAAAATACTTCTTACTTTGAAGTTTTATAAAAACTATAATACTTGAACTTGAAATATAAGGGTCAAATTATGCCCTACAATCGAGAAATATGGTATAGATGTAGACTTGAAAATATAATAATGAAAATATTATCAACTGATGAAAGACAGAGAATTACCCAGTCCCATAGGTGAGCTTGCTAGTTGGTTATCCAATACAGAGTGGTCAGCCCTAGAATTATTTGAACACAAATAACAACAATGAACTCAGCAGATTATATTTATATTTATGTGTCTATTTATGTATATGTAGTGGTGATAATCTTTACTATTATCTTTACTAGTAAAGAAAACTAGGTCATCAATTTAAGAGGAAGACTGGGGGTGTACAGGAGTGGTTGGTAGGAGGGAAAGAAAGACAAGAAAGAATGCAATTATATTTTAATTAAAATATATTAAATTAAAAGGAACAGTAAATTAGAGTCGCTATTTCCTAGTAGTAGTCACTGTAATACTTAATGCACCATTCTTCACTTTCAGCTGTACCATTTCCATAAAAATACTTGCATCTAGTTCTAGACAGTACCCTCTGGGCAGAAAACAAAGAGAAGAAACCTTATTTGTACACAAGACATAATTACTCATCTAGCTTTAACCATATTAACCAAAGTGAATTTTTAATATTAAATGTTTTTAAAGTACAGTTTTCATGTGTTTAGGCCCTTAAGTTTCATAGGAATATGGGATTTTAGAAAAGGAGAGGAAGATGCTAGACATCCCTGAATTTAGCAACTTCTAGCTAGGAAAGTGAGGCTTAGAGAGAATGGAATGAACTTGATCAGAGTGGAGGTAAGTAATGCCTGTGTGAGCAGGGGAAAGAATGGCAGACACTATGGGTGCAGGGAGGGCAAGGGATGGCGGGGCACTGTTGGTGGAGGGAGGGGAAGTTATGGCAGGCACTGTGGGTGGAAGAAGAGGTAAGGATGCAGGCACTGTGGGTACAGGGAGGGCAAGGGATGGAAGGCACTGTGGGTGGAAGGAGGGGAAGTGATAGCACTGTGGGTACAGGGAAGGGATGCTTGGTTTTAAGGTCTGGGCTCATGGGACATCTGGAAAGAAGAAAGGGCAATACTGAGCATAAACTAGTTCAAGCCAGTCAAAAACCAGGAGCAACTGTTGCTAAGTAATGTTGATCAGATCACTAAGTTGGAGTGCATCCTTGGATTTATTTGGACAAGGGGTGGGGGTGGAGATGTATAACCTGAACACTGACTTACACTGAAGCCACTGTCCAGCTTATGTGTAATCTTAGAGGGGTCCAGGGTTAGGAGAGGATGTTTACTCTCTGATGGCAACTCTACCTACTTCAGTATTACTATGAAAAGCCCCAGGAAATTGGAATGTTTCAGGGAGTTATTGGTTGGGACTGGTGCTAGAAGTCTGGTGACCAGAATCTAAGGATTATTTTTTTTTGACTGCAGCAATGAATCCAAGTAAGGCTTGACTAGAGGGTATGTCAGAACACAGTAGGGGAAATACTGACAGAAGTTAAATTATATCACATCTAGAGATTTTTTATTTTCTAATGCGGGCAAAGTGACTGATAAAGGAGCTTCCTGTTCTTTCTGCCATCTCATGGTCTTGCTACTTGTATTTACTCTGTCTGTTCAACAACAAAATACTGCCAAGTCCTGACTGATGCTCAAGGCTCACCTGAAGTGCATAGAAAAAATGGGACAGAACTAAAACAATACCTTTGATTTATTTTCCTTTGAGACAAACCATCTGATCTAAGTTGATTAAACAGGTATCAAAATCACTGAAAGCATTTGAACAAGAAATAAAAACAAATCATATCTCAGAGGTACTTATATCTAGTCACACAAAGACAGCTTTCTCTCTGCTGCTCAGGACTCACTTTTATATAACTCCTTTAAAACCCTGAGAAAACGAAAATGCCTAACTTACATTCTTTAACTGCTTGACTGAAGCTACAGTGCAATTCAGTTATAGTGGAGATTGGAGTTCTCTGCAGAGGCTCTGCTTGGAGAGAATCCCCTCAGAGTGTGAAATGCATCAACGTAAAGAAAAGAGAAAGTACAAAATGCATTGTTGATTTGGGGATAGAACATTATAGGTGATTCTGTTAATTCTGTAACAATGTGGACATTTAAATCGCATAATCTATCTCTAGAAGGATGGGTCAGAAACATAGTAATCAGATGTCTAAAAACAGTAAGTTATTCCCACACCAACAATAAGCCACACATATGATTCAGAGGAAGAAATATTTTTTTTACTGTAAGAGCCCAATTTATTGAATGCATACTTATGTTTTACTCTAGTGATAAAAACCAGAAGCATTTTTTAATGTGCTTTCAATGAGAGCATAAAAATATATATTAAATTATTAACACAACTCAATTAGTAAGTAGCAGGAACATTTCAAATACTGAACAATAAATTTTATGTTAGACTATTGTAACTTTGCTGCTATTATTATATTCAGTTTTTCTAATAAGATAAAAAAGGATGTTCCAGGATTTGCATATATGGAATTTGAGTTTTTAGGATTATCCTTAAGTTCTAGTTTTGCCAGAAATCTGGATGAAAGGAAAACCTTCTCATCTGTGCAAATTTTTTAAATGTGACCATTTGTATGTTAAGACATTTCTTGATACTAAACATTTGAGATGAAAGAAGAATAAAACCATAAACGTTTCTCCTGTGCTCTTTTTCCTTGGTTTTGAAATGGAAAAAAGTAAAAAAGAAAGAAAAAATGCAAATCAATGTAAGGGTCTCACAAGTATCTTTATCAATTTGTTCTACAAAAAAAAAATATGCGAGATTTTCTACTACTCAGAGAGGAAAATTTATCAGAAGCCACTTCTAATTTTAGCAGAATCAAGGCATGCATGAAATAGTTTTACAAGGATGTGAAAATACATGCAATAGTTAAAAGAGAAACCTGAACCCAAGATCTTTATCAGTTTTCACATTTGGCTTACCTTGTGAGAAGTCGGAACTCCTAACTACAGAGTCCTGTCTGCAGTTTATCCCAAACTTAGCCCTGATGGTGAGTTTCTTCCCGTGTTTTTATAGTCGCAGTTCTACTTCACTTGCTCCAGCCCCTGTCCTTGCTTTCTCTTACATCAGTTCTACAGATTTTCCACGGAACATTTCCTAATTCTCTCTCTCTCTCTCTCTCTCTCTCTCTCTCTCTCTCTCTCCCTCCCTCCCTCCCTCCCTCCCTCTCTCTTTCTCTTTTTCTCTCCTTTTGCCCACCCTCCTCCTAGGTCCCTCCCTTCTTTCCGATCTCTCTTCTCTAACCCCCCTCTCCTAATTTCTTTTCCTTTTCACATCTGTTCTATCTATTTTGTTTTGATTGTGGCATTTGAGCAGCTGAACTCTGGAAAAATTAAGTGCACACTTAGCTTTGTGCTCAGCTTCATATGCATCACCTCGATCAGTGGTTTGAGTCCAGCTTTGACTACTAAAGTTTGTATTTGGGCAATTAAATACCCAAAGGTTTGTGAAAGTCACCAGGGCTTTTTGCAGCAAGATTTCAGAAGATTTGAATCAGACCTAAACTGTTGATTGGTGTAGACCTTTCTATTACATGATTGTCTTCAGAAACGATGGGTAATTTAAGCCTCAGGTGCACTGTGGTATGTCAGTGAAACAGACAGGCACATCTTAATTAACATGGCTGTACTAGGAAGCCTGTCACTAACCAAAAATTGCTACAGTGTGATATGTGGCTATAAATGCAGAGGGATAGACACCTTTATCTTGCCCTTCTTCTCTTTTATTTTAACTTAGTTTCGACCAAAACTTTCCTTGTTCTTTCTGAAGGTTTCCTCCATCTCCTGAAAAATCACATTTTTCTGCACATGGGCATTAGTAAAAAGAAATGATTGGATTTATAGGTGCATGGTGTGTTATTCGATCATCATGGGCTTATTTGATTCATTGTGGGTCTCTGTTTATCAGATAGAGTAGGAAAGGATTAAAAAAGTCACTTACTTAGTGAGGACACACAGCTAAGAACACTGAGCTAGATTACAAATGCAGATTTTATGTCCACACCCAGTTCTCTGCTCGTGGTTGCATTCTGTCTACTTCAAACGCTACCAACGAGAATCTAAAGCAGATTATACGTTTGCACCAATAGAAATCGATTTGCTCTCTTTGGTTTTGCTTACAAGCCATTTAAAATACTACTCACTGTTGTGGGAACTATTGCATGGTTAATTTGGAGTTACACAGGAGAACTGACCAGAGCACTCTGAAATGTTGGGACAGTAAAATGCTTCATTTTTATAAAGGGCTTCCAGGGACAACATATGTCTCAACAAGCCTGAAATCTGAGCAGTCAGTAGCAGAGGTTCACAAGTCAAGATAAAAATACAGCCTAAATTTGGAACCTTGTTTAGATATTACCGACATAAAACAATTATGTTAAGCTTGAATCCACATGATGGAAAACTCTCAATATAGTTTTAATGAATGCATCATGATGTTACCACAACCAGGATCTATGACATCCCACCAGCCTCCGCATTCTGACAAGTGATATCTGCAGCTGATTTATTACAGATCTGTTGTTGCTACACAGTCCAAAGATTCCAGCCTATTTGTGGATTTTGTTGAGCTCATTCAAAATTTGACTTAACTGTTCTACAGCAGTAAAAAAGAAATAGCAGCAGTTTATTCCAGGAACACAGCCATGGTACATTGAAGTCATTTGTACAGGCTTCTGTACATTGCACACTTCTGTGGGACTTACTTTTGTGGTTTACATTATCTTGGAAAGGAGAAAAGAGGGGTAACATGCAAAGATGTATAAAGATGAAGAAAATAGGCACTGAGTGATGACCAGGGGAAAATTAAGACAAGAAAGAGAAGCTATTATTGAAGGCTTTTCAGTGAGAAGATCTTTTTTCCATTCTGATAACAGCCTTGCCAAGGAGGTATTATTCACAAGTAACAGCAAAGAAACACAGCACATCATTTAAAAAAAGCATAACTCAAGTCCTCATAGCGAGAATGTGATGGGACCAGGAACTGGCAATGGCTATGTTTATCAGTTGGGATTCTGGCCATAAAGAGAAGGTTCATTCAAACTGGGAAAACAAAGAATATGAAGAATAATGTGCAGTGTGCACATATTAGAAGTCAATAAATGATACATTAAAAGACAAGCACCCCTAGTCCTAAAGGACTATATAATCACTGGTCTGAACCGGTTGGAACTGGTATAAACCGGTCCAAACTGGTCAGAACCGGTAAAAACCAATCTGAACCGTTCTAAACTGTTCAGAACCAGTATACATGGTCATCGGAACAGGTATAAACCAGTCTGAACCGGTCGAGACTGGTCTGAGCCGGTCAGAACCAGTACAAACAGGTCCAAACCTGCATAAGACCAGTTTATGCCGGTTCCGACTGGTTCCGGCAGGTTTATACCGGTCCAGACCAGTTCAGACTGGTTCAGACCTGTTGATACTGGCTCCAACCGATTCAGGCCGGTCTCGACAGGTCCGGACAGGTTTATACCGGTTCGGACCAGTTCCGACTGGTTCTGGCTAGTCTCGACCAGTTCAGACTGGTTCTAACGAGTCTCGACCGGCTCAGACCAGTTCAGACTGGTCTTGGTTGGTTTGGGCGGGTTCCGACCAGTCTCGACTGGTTCAGACCGGTTTCGAGCAGCCTTGACTGGTGCATGCTGGTTCCGAAAGGTTCAGATCAGTCTAGACCGGTTCAAACCTGTTTCTGCCGGTTCCACCGGGTCCACTTCGGTCTCAACTGGTACAGACTGCTTCAGGCCAGTTCCAACCCATCTCGATTGGTTCAGACTGGTCTTGGCCAGTTCATACTGGTTCTGACCTGCTCTGACCAGTCTCGACTGGTTCCGACCAGTTTCAACCAATTTATGCCTGTTCCAGTCGGTTCAGACCAGTTTAGGCCAGATTATGCCGATTTCGACCAGTTTAGATGCCGCTCGTGGCGGTTTAGACCTGTTTAGACCGGTTCCATATGGTTCAGACCAGCTTGTACCAGTTCAGACCGGTCTTGGCAGGCTCAGAGCAGTTTGTGCTTGTTCTAACTAGTTCAGTCCAGTCTCAACCAGTTTATGCCAGTGCAGACTGATCTCGACCAGTTCAGACCAGTTGATGCCTGTTTCGACTGGGTCAGGCTGGTTCAGACCTGTTTAAGCCAGTTTTGACTGGTTTAGACCGGTTTATGCCAGTTCCGACCAGTTCAGACCGGTCTCAGCCGGTTCGTACCAGTTCCGAGCAGTCTCGACTGGCTCAGACTGGTTTCGAGCAATCTTGACCAGTGTATGCTGGTTTCGACTGCTTCAGATTGATCTCGACTGGTTCGGTACGATTTATACCGGTTCCGACCGGCTCAGATTGGTCTCTAGTGGTTTAGACTGGTTTATTCCGGTTCTGACCTGTTCAGACTGAACTCGACCGGTTTATACTGGTTCTGACTGTTTCAGACTGGTCTCAACCAGTTAAGACTGGTTTGTAGTGGTTCAGACCGATTCCGACCAGTCTCAACCAGGCCAGTGCAGACTGGTTTTGAACAATTTCGACCGGCTCAGACCGGTTTAGACTTTTTCAGACCAGCCCCAACTGGACCAGACCTGTTTAAAATGGTCTCCACTGGTCCAGACTGGACTATACCAATTTCTACCAGTCCAAATTGGTCTCGACCAGTTCAGACCAGTCCCGACCAGATCAGACCAGTCTCGACAGGACCAGATCAGACCAGACCAGTTTAGACCGGCTTGACCAGCCCAGACCGATTTAGACCGGTCTTTACTGGTCTGGACCGGACCAGATCCATCTCGACTGGTTCAGACCAGCCCAGACTGGACCAGACTGGTTTAGACTGTAACATCAAACAACAATCTAAAGTCTTTTGTGGTGCAGATTTTTAGAAGAGAAATGGAATTTTGATCAAAGTATAGTCCAATCAAATAATATGAATGTGTTAGAATAAAAATATGCACCCACTTCACACTGATCAACCTCCAGGAATGAACAGGAGATAACTACTGACTCTTTCAGGTGCTTCTTCAACTACCATGTTCAAGTTTTGTTTCTTTCTATCAGAAATAGTGCATAGACCAAACACATTCAGTACGCTGGCCTTTTGTTCAATTTGGAATCAATTTGGAATTTTACTTAAATTTAGTCCACCTTCATCCATCTTATTTGTCATTGGATTCAATAAAAAGGCTAAATGTCTTTTATCTTTTTTAAATGGTAAAGCTTTTATTATAAAACAATCTTAGTTGAGACTCTAGAAGTAAAGTATGTCAACCTCTGAATGCTGGAGCTAATGGGAGGGTGATAGACACAATTACTGAACAAGGAGCTGTCCATCACCAGAGTTGAGACCACTACTGTGCTGTACCCATAGATTCCCATGAGTGAAAAGATTGAAAACACCAATCGGTTGACATCTACTCTCAGCTCTATCATCCTAAGACTGTGAAAACACTGTTTTCTAATCCATGACATCTCTGAAGCTTTCATTGACACGATGAAAGGGAATCAGGGAACATTTGTTTTCAAAACGCCCCCAACACTAGGTCCATCTCCTGCTTTGTGGTGGAGTGAATGCCCAGGCATGAAATCTGGGAGCAGGAATAGTAATTGAGATTGAGCCCGTGAACTTCTTTCTTTCTGGCAACTTCTTGGAATTTTACCTTTGCTTATTTGTTTTGTCCTGTTTCATCATGTTAGTTTTGGTTTGTCTGTTTTATTTTATTATTATCATTTAGATGTTTGTTTTCTAATGAGAGACAGAAAGGGGGTGAATCCAGATTGGAGGAGAGCCTGGGAGGAAATGAGAAAAGTAAAGGGAGGGGTAACCATAATCAGACACATGTGAGAAAAATAATCTTTTATATAAATGCATCAAATGAAATGATATTTTCTCGAGTCATTGGTTTTTAATTATACATAAATAATAATATAACTTTTGACCCATTTAATAATGTTACATTGTAGAATAACTACTCTAAACAAGTTTTACAGAATCCAGTGATAAAGGATGTATAAAAATATGTACAAACTTCAGTTTTGAAATAAATTTTATATATCAGTCAAACAACTTATTTTCTGTCTAATTTCTTGTGAATGATGTTATCAA